TTTTAGTAGAGACGGAGTCTTGCTCTTGCTCAGGCTGGTTTCGAACTCCTGAGCTCAAACAATCCACCCGCCTCGGCCTCCCAGAGAGCTAGGATTATAGGCGTGAGCCACCGCTCCTAGCCGCGAATGATGATTTTTAATTACATAGTTACATGTATTCCAATAATACATAAGTATATAAAGTTAAAATTAAAGGGCTCCTTGCTTAACAGTTGTCTTTTCAAATTCTATGTGTACCTAATGTTCTTTACACATACAAATTTTTGTGCTGTCAAGCTATATATATTATTCTGAAACTTGCTATCTTCCCTCCCTCCTGCTCAACAACATATAATAGGTATCCTTTGGCATCAGATTTCGGATCCATTGAAATCTCTTTAATGATTGTGTAGTCCTCCATAGTGTGTTTATACTGTAATTTATTTAGCGACGTCCCTAAACATTTAAAGTTATCTTTAGTTTTTTACTAATGGAGATAATTCTATGATGAACTTTTTTCTACATCTATATTTGTGTATTTCTGCAAGTATTGTTATAGGATAATTCCAGAACTAGAATTTCTAGGTTAAATTTTGATAGCTACTACAAAATTGACCTTCAGTTCCAGCAACTATGAACCATATCTTGTCAGCATTGGCTATTATCAATCTTTTAAAAATGTTCCCTGATCCAGTAGACAAAAATGAAATTTCATTGTTTCAATTTGATTTTCTCTGATCACTGGTGGAGTTGAGCATCCTTTCTTGTGTTAATTATAAATTTATGATTCTTTTTTGTTAATTGTGTATGACCTATTTTAATTTTCCTTATTTGGCAGAGGTCTTTATTTAGGACATTAAAACCCTTTCATGTATGTCACAAGTATCTTCTCCCATTCAATTTTTGTCTTTTAGATTTATATGTCATTTAGCTTGTACCATATGAAGCTATAAATTTCTTCTTTATGACTCCTTCGTTTTTTAGTTTCCTAAAGATCATTTGCTTCTGAATACCAGACATGTTCTTATATTTTCTTCTGATATACTTATAGTTTTGTGTTTTACTTTTAAATAATTAACTGTTCATGAATTTATTTTATGAGCTAAAGATAGACATATTAATATGCATTTTTCTCCAAATGTATTGCCAGTTTTTCTCATAAACTACTGAATATTCCATCCTTTCCTCACCAATTTGAAAAACCAGTGATATTACTCTATGAATGATTGAAGGGTTTTAAGAAATGTGATATTTTTCTTTTCACGCAGGGAAGATGTGAATATTGAAACAAATTTCAAGAATATAAGGTAGGGTTTGTAGAAAGTCAGGGATAAAAGAACGTGGTTGCCTTGGGAGTTAATTTGGATAGGTTAAAAAGTATAGATGGGATGATGTAAGAATATACCTAGGACAAATAAATACAGGCATACTGTTTTATTGTGCTTTACAGATATTGTATTGTTTACAAAATGAAGGTTCGTGGCAACCCTGTGTTGAGCAAATCTATCAGTGCCATTTTTCCAAAATCATGTGCTTACTTATGATGTCTGTGTCACGTTTTGGTCACTCTTGTAATATTTCACACTTTTTCATTATTATTATTTCTGTTACAGTGATCTGTGATCAGTGATCTTTGATGTTACTATTGTGATTGTTTTGGGGCACCACAAACTATGCCCATATAAGACAGCAAACTTAATTGGTAAATGTTGTGTGTGTTCTGACTGCTCCACCCACCAGCTGTTCCCCATCTCTGTCTCTCTGTTTGGGCCTTTCTGTTATTCCCTGAGACATAACAATATTGAAATGAGGCCAGTTAATAACTCTATAATGGCCGGGAAGTGTTCAAATGACAGGAGGAGTCACATATCTCTCACTTTAAATCAAAAACTAAATATCATTAAGCTTAGTGAGGAAGGCATGTCGAAAGGTGAGACAGGCCAAAAGCTAGGCCTCTTGTACCAAAC